TTGATCCCTCTGTAACACAGACATGGCATGTGGTGGGCACCCCAGATGGCCATCTGACTCCTACTGGGGCCGTTGGCAGGATCCTCTCCTGTAGGTTGGGTGGTACCGGACAGAGGTAACAGCCTCCAAGTCTAGGTAAGGTGTGACTCTCCTCCCGCCTCCCCTTACCCACCCTGGTAACTGGGCTGGGGAGACAGATGGCTAGAAAGGCAGTGTTTGACCTGGTGGATGGCTAGTGCCTCCTCCATTTCCAGGAGGCAGCCTGAGCTGGACACAGTAGCTGTTGGGGGGTGGGGGTGATGCTGATGGAAGGACAAGATGGCTCTGACTGCTAAGCCGTGTAACTGGCAGTTTGTCTGGCTTGTTCAGTTTGCTTGGGGTAGGATCTGCTGTGACATTACCTACTGTTAAGTGGTTGTATGCAAACACCCGCTTCCAACGAGCAGCACCTGTTGCTACTGGTAACTAGGGATAGTGCTGGGTGCCACAGCCCTGGTTGCCAGCCTCCAGCCTCAGGACCCTGAGGCTCTGCGGGTTTGGGGTGGTTCTGCAGCCCTTTATCTGCCCATACCAGGCTTTTCTGCGAGGCAACGGCCACTTAGAATGTCCATGCCATCTACTGCCTGATGTCTGTCTCAGCTGCTGCTGGGGGACCTCCAGGTCTCCTGGTCTGTGGCTTTGAACCTCAGTCCTGGGTGACTCCTAGGAAGCCTTTGCTGGTCCCACACTGGCCAAGCCCATCACCTTCCACCTGTGGCCACAGAGCCCTGTCCCTCTCCCTTGGTGTCCATGTTGGATTTGCATGCAGGGTCTCTAAGCAAGTGCTGTACCGCTCAGCATCCCCAGCCCTCTTTTTACTTTGTATTTTTAAGATCCCACTAAGTTGCCTAGGCTGGCCTTGAACCCGGTCTGTACACCAGGCAAGCACTGAACCCGTGATCTTCGTGCCCTAGCCTTTGGAGTAGCTGGCATGGGGGCTGGGCTATGTAGCACCCCCTGGCTTTGTTCTTTAGTTAGGTCCACTTTGTGGTTAACCTGGTTTCCTGATCCACCCATGTATGGAGCTCTTCTTTCTCCATGTACCCCAAGTTCTTTCACAGAGCACCAGCACAGCAGGTCCCTCACTTGGTGATGGGCATGGAAGGGCTGAGCGTAAACCTAAGGTGTGTTCCATTTGCTGCCCTGTTGGGGCTGCTGGGACCCCCAGGGTTATCCAGGAGCTAAATCTGCCCTTGTCAGCAGGGCCTGGGTGGGCAACTCCTGTCCTGCCCTTCTGCCTGGTTGCCTTGCTGTGCCTTGACCCCTAGGTGGGTTGGGGGGCATTTCCATCATACCAAGGCACCCCCACTTTATCTGCTTTTTTGGTCGTAGGTCAGGAACCACCATCTGCTTGGCTTCCTGCTCTGTGCTTGGGGTCCAGGGGGAACTGGCTTTGGAGTGGGGGTGGGCAGTGCCCAGGAGCCCTGGGGGTGCTCCCCGTGAGCATCAATATGCCTCCCCGTCCCGGGAGAAGCCGGCTCACCTTCATGAGCTCTGAACATGCCGGTGGCAGCACACATAATAATTTATTACGAAGCTGCCCGGGTGTGGGGATCACATGACACCCCACATGCTGTGGCTGCCAGGTTCCCGCAGCAGGGTGACCCCAGCCTTGTTAGAGGTGCAGAAGCTTCATCCTCTGGGCATCAGGGATCATGGAGGCAGGCTCTGAGCCTGGGCTCGGCCCGCCTCTATCTCTTCACAAACATTTCAGTCTGTGGTAATGAAAAATGACAGAGAGGGGACAATTAGGGCATCCGGTTGCAGACTGTGCCTGAGAGCTTAGCCCTGCTGGGCACAGTCTCCCCGGGTGTAATTACCCTGAGGTGGGGGGCTGCTGGGGGAAGGGGCGGATTGGCGCTTGAACTGGGCTTCCAGAGAATTCATCTCAGCTATTAGCTGGTAATTACAGAGCTGAAGGCGTAGGCCTGAGGTCTGGTGCCGGGAGGAGCCCGGATGAAAGGGACGGTAATTATGGTCTCAATGGGAGGGAGGGAGGCTGGGCGTAGGCAGGGCAAGGGAGGTGGTGGAGACCCTCCTGCATAGCCCACTGTAGTCCGCAGTGCAGAGTCAGAGCGAGGTGGCCAAGGTGCCACGACAGTGTCACCTGCCTGCAAGGCTGACTGCCACTCAGGCTCGCCCTCCGCAGGGCTTCAAAGCTTCTTGATGCTGCCTTTGGCTGTGCTAGAGGCCTGTGTGGAGAGGGAGGAAGCGGTTTTGGTGGGAGGCAAGTCAGGGTGCACCCAGCAGGCAGGTTCTGAAGGTGCTGTGGCCCCACGGCCTCCCTGTCACCTTGTGTAAGCCAGGCCATTTGTTGGGCACTGTAGGTGGGTGTTCAATCCTCAACATCCCCAACTTCCAGGAGGACCCCCAGGCTCAGCTCCGGATGGGTCTAGAGAGCAGGATTAGGAGTGTGTGTCTGGATAAGACCTTTGTAGAGCAGCACATGGCTGTAAAGTAGATGCAGGGACGCGGCCTAGACCCTGGGCTCATTTTCCTGGAGAGTGTGTACTATGTCAAGGAGCCTCCAGCCCCCGGACTCATCCATCACAGGCCCTCGTACCATGGAGCTTATTCCCAGCTGTTAGGAGAATGAATTCACACGAGCCGATCATGATTCAGTCAACGGCCTAGAGCACAGAAGTTAATAAATACCGCCCTGCTGAGGGCAGGGAGAACAGATGCCCCGTGCCTGCCTCTCCCCTTCCTGCTACCCTGTGGACACTGGTACCTGCGCCTGTTGGGGAGGGGGTCTTCCCAGGATGCTGGGCACAGAGCAGCTGGACGTGAGAGGGAGGGGCCCTCTCTGTCCATAGTAGGCTGGAGGGGCTTTTCAGCTCCCCTCAAATTAATTTGACAATGTGTCCTTTGAAGCCGCCCCCAGCCCGCCCCTCTCCCACCGACCCCACGTGAGCATGTGAGGAACAGTGCTAATTTTAGATTCTCTTAATGAAGCGGCTCGTTTGGAATTCTATTTTAGGTGACCTGACATCACAGCAGCTTCCCAGGCTGGGAGCACACAGACACCCCCAGAACTTTAGGGGGCCCCCAGGAGTCAGGAAGGGCCCACACCCTGGGCAAAGGCTGGTGGCCAGGAGTGTGGGTGCTTGTCTTTCTCTGGTGGTGGAGTTCCTGTCTGCATCCCCACAGGAGCGTGATGGTGGATCCCCACAGGAGCGTGATGGTGACACTGATGTGGCCATGGGCCCAGGGAGGGGACTCGGGGCGGTCCTGTCCCGAATACTGGTCACTGGGAGCGAGGGTCCGATGGGCAGCAGCTGGCGGCACACAGGGCATAGTGCTGTGTTGGGGTGATCCCAACCCAACTTTGACCAAACCTTATGCTGAGCCTGCTCCCTGTCAGTGAAATGGGCCCAAGGACACCTTACTGGTAGAGAGGCACTGGCTCATTGGGGTGAGGCTGTATGAGGGACAGCTGTGTGGTGCTGGTGGAGGCCAAGCTCAGGTCTGTTTGCAGTTTGTTGACGTGTCTTGGCTCTAATTGGGAGCAACTGAGGTTCATGGCACATTGGGGGGTCCGATCAGCTTTATGCCCCAGAGTCTCTTGGTCAGGATTTCAAGGGTTTAGCCACCAGGGTCTGGCTCAGAGCGGCCGATGAGACCTACTGGCTCACTGCCCTGCTGGGGACACCGAGTCTGGGAGCTCCCGCTTAGCCTTGTGGCCAGTGCTGCCCATCTGCCCCAGGGACAGGAAGGCAAGCTGGGCATGGGCCTACAATGCCTGCTCCACAGAAACCATGCAGTGTCACTGCAGAGTCATGTTTGTCAGAGGTGAGGTCAGAGCCAGTTGCTCTGAAGCAGAGGACTTGTGTCTTGAAGGGGTAAGTGCAGGACTCAGGGACAGACGCGTGAATTGAATCACTGGAGTTGATGGAGTTCAGTTGTGGGCATGTGCAAGCGCCTTTTGACCACAGGTGATGGGAGCAGAGGTCCACACTGGTTAGGCTGTAACTTTGGGTCAGCCTTAGAGTACCTGGCCTCAGTTTCCCCATTTGCTCTCCCTGGAATGTGGGGATAACAGAGCTGCTAGCCACAGGTACAGGTGGTAAACTCTGGCCCTGCTATCTCCATGCTTTTGCCGTCTAGAGAGTAGGTGGGACTGATTTGTGTGACCAGAGCTCTGCCTTCCAGGAAAGGCCTCAGATGGACACTCATGAGGCTCCAGATGCAGTGGTCCCCTGCCTGCCCTGAGCAGCATCTCTTCCCGTGGGAAGGGCCAGGCTGCCCATGCTCTGACCCTTGACTGTGAATGGTAGAGAAGCACCTAGGTCACTCAGTGGTTCTGAGGGCAACTGTTCATCTTCAGCCTCTCTAGATAGAGGCCTCGGGCCCATGGAAGGATGCGGGCAGGGGCTACAGATGGCTGTTTCTGCCTGACCCCTTCTACCTGGGCACAGGCAGAAACCCCTGATCAGGAGAGTGTGGGGTGGGTGAGACCCAGAGCTGGCCTGCTTGGTTTGGGTCTCGGTTCTGTGCTGACCCCTCTGGGGCCCCTGACCACATAGAGCTCTCAGATTCCTCCTCTGTGATTGGGGACAGTTTTGTGCAGGCCTCTGGTGTGCCGTGCTGTTTCGGTCCCATGGTCTGTGGCTGTCAGCTGCCACCGAGGTCATCTGGCCATAGGTCACCGCAGCCCCGTGCCCTGCCCTGGCACCACGGGCAGCCTGTGACTTATCCTCACTCCCTAATACTTGGATCTGGTGTGGTCCCCCGATGATGCTTTGGGGGGTGGGGTCCTGTTTGTTAGCCTGACCTGGGCCCGCTCTAGATAGCTGGTCCAGTATCATTGGGGTTTCGGGGGGCTGGCTGGACCGTGGGCCGGAGTCCCAGCGCTGGCTGTGCTGCTGTCGCCCGCCCCGTCTCCGCTGCATGCTGCCGACGCCTCTGGTCTGGGCGCTCTGCCTCTTTGGGTGACGCTGCTTCTTCTTTTCCTGTTTCAGGCATGAGCCATGAGCCCAAGTCCCCTTCACTAGGGATGCTTTCCACCACGACCAGGACTACCGCCACCGTCAACCCCCTCACCCCCTCACCGCTCAATGGCGCCCTGGTGCCCAGTGGTAGCCCGGCTACCAGCAGCGCGCTGTCGGCTCAGGCCGCGCCGTCCTCCAGCTTTGCCGCTGCGCTGCGCAAGCTCGCCAAACAGGCGGAGGAGCCCAGAGGTAAGAGGCACCGAGGCTGCCGGCTCGTGGGATGCCCCGGAGTGGCAGCCGCGTGGCCAGGGAACAGCCGTGCACAGCCCGCAGCGCACTTGCCGTGCCGCGTCCTGCCCACGCCCCGGGCCCAGCCCTCCGTTTGCAGCCAGCTTTGCTCTGTACCTTCCTCTCTCCCTGCTTCCCTCAGCTTCAGTGGCTGCTGTGGGGGGCTCACCGGTAGACAGACTCGCTGGCCATGGGGGTTCGAGGGTCTGGTGTTGGATTCCGAGGCCGGCTGTACCCTGCTGAAGTCCCTGCCTCACTCTCCGTGATCTCCTCTTGTCCGCTCTCGGCCCAGGCTACCACCCTGTCCCACCTGTGTCGCAGAGGGCATGGGATGTCTGGGGCATCCAACCTTCCAGTGCAAGTGGTATCTTGTGGCTCCTGTGGTGGTGTGGGCTCGTGCCCCCGGAGGGCGATAGGCCTGCCGTCTGGTACACTGACATGCTGTGTGGTGTTGGGCAAATGTCGGTCCTTTCTGAGCTTAGTCTTCCCGTTGATACACAGGGAAGCTCTGTTTGGCTCTGGTTTTGGGTCAGTTCTTGGGCCCCACAATGACTGTCCCATCAGTGCCGGTCAGGGGCTACCAATGGGCACAGATGCGTTTGCGCCTGGACTCTTGAGCCCTTTGGATCTGTTTGTAGGCAGGGGGCCAAGGTGTGCAAACTGGTATTCCTTCGACTTGGGGCCCAGGGTCCTGGGTTCCAGAGTGCCCAGGGATACTACAGGAGCTGGCTCTTTGCTTACACTGGTCTAAACTGGAGCAGAAGAAGTTCACCCTGGCTGTGTAGGCCAGGATCCCTCCTTTTCTGAGGGCCTCGGTGCCAGCACTCATTCAGGTCTGACTGTAGGGGAGGGAAGGAGGAATGGAAGGAGGGCCTCAGACCAGGAGAGTGCACCAAACCCAGGCCTTTCTGTTTGCCCAGTGGAGGAGGGCTGCCGGCAAGCCTCCTGCATCCTCAGCCAGGGCCCCGGGCTCTCACTAGAAGCTAAGGTGAGGCTGAGCCCCCCCCCCCATTTTAGTTCCCGCTTGGTTTCTGAGACCCTTACCATTCTTTGCTGCCTCTTAGCCACACTCAGGGCCCGGCCAGATTTCCTCTGACCTCCCAGCTCGGACCTTCCGGGTTGTCCTGTTGTGCAGATAATGAAGCCGAGGTTCAGAGAGGTCGTGTCGAGTCCTTGGTCACACAGCAGGAGGGATGTGTCCTGTCTCCTGCTGCTGTGCAGCTGTGTGGAACTTTCTGCATAGACTTGGAGAGCAGGAAATCAGTCTCAAGCCGGTGGTCCCAGGGGGGAAGAGGCTCCCTTGCCCCAGCACCTACCAGTGTGGTGCAGAGGGCTGGGTTTGAGAGCCACTGGCTGCTGGTTTGTGGGAGCTTAATTTGCCTCCTGGGGAGGGAGCTGTAGGTTTCCTGGAACCCTCAGCAGGTACTCCTGGTCTCCTTTGCTCCACAAGCCAGTAGGTGGGGTCAGCGTGAGCCAGCAGGGTTGTGCAGGGAATCCGGACTTTTTACTTCTAATTTTTTTTTTTAAAGATAAGATCTTATTTTGCCCAGGCTAGCCTTGAGTTTCCTAGGTAGTTGAGAATGACCTTCAATTTCTGGTCCCCTTGTTCGCACCTCCTAATGCTGTGATCATAGATGTGCACCACCCAGTTTGAGCCACATACCCAGTCCTGGTCAGTGTTTTGGGTATTTTTGGTCTTATTCAGACAGGGTCTCCATGTAACCCCAGCTGCCCTGGAACTCACTTATGTAGACCAGGCTGGCCTCAAACTCACAGAAATCCACCTGCCTCTGCTTCCCAAGTGCTGAAGTGCTGGGACTACCACGTCCAGGTCCCGGTCAGTGTTTTTCTGTAGAGGTGTGTAGCCATCCTCCCTCTGGAAGTCTAACTTTTGTGTCCTCCCACCCAAGGACACCCCCCCCCCATTATCTAGCAGCCTCGTTCTCCTCTGGCACTAGCTTGCTTTGACAGTGTCACCCTGGGATCCCCGTCCTGCTGTGCCAGCCTTGACCCATCGTTCAGGGCATCAGCCTTTCCTACCCTGCCTGTCTGGGGAAGCTGGTGGGACGCATATCCCAGCTGGGCCCAACCCTGGGGCCTTGGTGTCTCTGTTACCAGTGAAGGAAGCTGGGTCTAAAGATTGGATGCTGGTCATAAGCAATTCCAGAGTCCTGTCCTGAGACTGTGTAGACTTGGAGAGCAGGAAATCAGTCTCAAGCCGGTGGTCCCGGGGGGAAGAGGCTCCCTGGCAGTGGGTCGTGAGCAGGTTGGCTTCCAGAACTGTGGCTGTTACCCCTGTAGGGGCCTGGCTCCGTGCCCCCTCCTCACCCCGTGCCCCCCAACACTGTGCCCCCTCCTCACCCCGTACCCACCCCTCCTGGAAGCACTGTTATTTTTAGCCATCTGACAGTGCTGGCCTCAGCTCCTGTGGCTAATGTCTCTCCCTTGAGTCTCGAGGGTACGGTTTAAAAATTCAATTCAGACAAAGCAATCGGAGTACCATCTCATTTGCTCTGCCCCAGAGAAAGGCAGAGGGGAAGGGAAGAGAAGCCAGCCCCTCCCTGGTCCCCACTAGGCCGCACAAGGACATTGTAGGCTCAGACAGTCGGGGCTGGTCCAGGTGGAGGTCCTAGCCTAACCACTTTAATCTACTCCAAGGCCTAGGTTTGTCGGGTCAGGTGGATGCTGGGGAGTCAGCCAGTCAGGTCCAGTGCACATCCTGCCTCTGCCCACTTGCTGGGTGGCCCCCGCAGGGTTCACTTCTCTGAGCCTCTTCTCTTTCTTAGGATGAAGGGATTGTCTCTGGTGGCATCTGATGCTGTCAGTCAGCCTCTGATCCCCCCCCCCCTTCTCCAGTGTCCTCCAGTGTTCCCGCCACCTGCACACCACCTCCCATTCCGACTGCCCCTGACCACTGTACCCCACTGTCTGTTTCCCCTTTGAGGTCCTCGCTCCTTGAACTGACAGAGACTGGGAGGTACCCTGGCCAGTTGTTGTGGGTTCCTGCTGCTGGCCTGACCGGGCCTAGGTGACTATAGACCCACGGACTTCAGGGATGCCATGCCTATCACCCTCTCTTCCCAGGAGGAGGAGGACACAGGGAGTCCCCCAGCCTGGACTGTGTCCTGAGAGAAGCCTCGTGCTGTGGGGGTTTAGGTCTGATCCCAGGCTGGACCCCTGGCTCCCTCCTCAGGGCTAGTCCAGGAAAGCTACAGGAGCTGTGGCTTCCCCTGGTCTGTCCTACCCTGACTGCTCCGTTCCTCCCTGAAGCTGCCAGAGGCTCAGGCTCTGCCCATGTGTCAGGACAGTCCCAGTGCTCAGTTGCGGGGACCTGGGAACAGTCTTCCACATGGAGCAGCACTGGGCACCCTCCCACCTCCACACTCAGCGGCCCTTCTGTACAGATTCCATACAGTTCGGGAGGCTCGTGTCGGGCCCTTTGCCAGGCCTGTGCATCCTGCTAACCTGCAGGGGTCTGCATCTCTCAGCCTCCTGACCTCTTCTGGCCCTCTGCCCAACTTCCTTGAGGGGCTGGGGTCCCCAGAGCATCCTGCGGGCTTGAGCACCCGAGTACAAGGCCTGGGTGCTCTAGAGGAGCTCTGAGAACTCACACTGCCTCAAGCCAGCAGCCTGGCCCCACATGCAGTCCTAGGAACCTGCCCTAGCCTGGGTCTACCCCGGCCTCCATGGAGGGCGAAACTCAGAGCCCCTACCGCCGCCCCCACCTGTGTGAGATGAAGCTGAGCACTGCCAGGCAGGACCCAAGCTGTGTGACAATCTGCTTTGTTCCCATGGGCCCTGGTGCCGTCTGCTGAGGGGGCGGGGCTGCAGCGGGAGCCCTCACAACCTGAACTGATCTGCACCGATCTGCTGGAAGCCAGGTCTGCAGAGTTCTGTCCCAGGACACACATGGAGAAAGATCATTCACAGGCTGGTCACCCTTTTACCACCAGCAAAGGGAGGGTGACACTGATGAGGGCAGGCCACTGTCCTTCTGATTAGACGTCCGCAGAGCTGTGAGCTGCTGGCAGGCTGGCCTTGTAGCCCGGGAGCATCCAGTTACCTTGGGGGTGGCGGGGGTGAAACCTAGATCCCACAGAGGCCAGAGACCAACTATGGTGTTGAGTCCAGGTGGCCCCCGTCTGCCTGCGCGTCTGCCATGGCTTGGGCCTGGTGGAGGTGACGGACCCCGTAAGAGTCTCCTCAGAAGTCTGCTTCTTTCAAAGAAAACAGCAAAACAAACGGGCTGCCTGGCACGCCCGCTTGCCTGTCAGTCTGTGGCTGGCAGGGCCAAGGCGGCTCCACGGGTGTCTGGAACCCCATCTGTCTGTGGCTCAGGTGTGAGCAGCACGGCCCGTCATCGTGAGCCTCCTTTTCTGGTAGTGCTTGGGAGACCGGGAAGGGCAAGATGGCATCAGAGAGTCCCCCAGGTGCTCAGTGCCATCCCGTCCCCTCCCCTCGGCCCCTCTGCTGCTGCCCTTCCCTCAGTTCCCACCTCTCATCTGTCCTAGGCACCCTAAAATGGTGGCATCACCCAGTGGGGGCAGAGCCCAACCCAAAGGGATCCTGGCTGGTTCCAACCTCCCACCCACCCCCCAGTTCTTCCTGGATCAGCCAGAGTGGCACTCTTCCCCATCAGGTGGGCCCTGGAAACCTTCTTCCTCACAAGCCCCAGCAACTTCCTAACTACCGACTGGCCCTAGGTACAGGACTCCAGCACCTCCCAACAGCCCCTTTCTCTCGCTGCCGGCCTCTGGGGCCTCCTGGCCTCTGGTACATGTAATCATGACCATCCCATGCCAGGGAGACCAGCTGGCAGGGCAGGAAGGGAGGCCCGTCCGCCGCAGCATATGGCCACTCTGCTTGGCTGCCTCTCCCCACACTGCGGGTCCTGGCTGACACTGACTACAGTGCTCCTTGCTGTGGGCCTGGCTGTCCCCGCTGTACAGGGGCCTGTGGGGACTTGAGAGGGCTTCCCTGCCTGGTTCTTGTTTCTGGGTGTCCCTCACCACCAGCAGCAGTCGGTCCTAGTGTTGGTTGGACTTTCTCCCATGTCCCACTGTGTGCATTTCAATGAAAGAAGGCTGAACTGAGTCTGGTGACAACCTGACTTCTATCCCTCAGTCCTCTCTGGCTGGCGACATCCAGGGCTGGTGCAGTGGGTGCAGCTGCGGGGGAGGGGCACAGCCCCTGAGATTTAGAGTGGATGGGAGTCCACTTCCCCACAGCGACGTCTCAGAGCAGGCTGCAGGCCCAGTGGGCCCGAGAGGCCTGGGTAGCAGTGGCCCTGCTGTGAATCCTTACAGTGACCCTGGCGTCGCTGTGCACAGCTCCCACCACAGAGACTTCCTGGGAGGCCTTATGTCAAGGTTGACTCTGGGACAGAAGCAGCCACAGGGCAGCACGGGATTCCTGGGCTTCCCTGCCCTGTTGTAATGCGGGTGGTGAGGAGGCTCAGATGGTGCTGGACTTCATGAGGACCTTGTCTGGACACTGTCTGTTTGCTGGTGTCCGTGCTCAACGCGGGGAGGGGTGAACGTCCCTGGATTTTGACTCTGGCTTCCAGCCTTTCCCTGTCCACTTCCCTCTGTGCCTCTTGTTGGCTGGGCCGGGACTCTGAGGACCTGACCACACCCTCCCATCCACAGACTGGTGGGAGGGCGTGCCCTCTTAAGGGTATGCAGTTGCATGCTAGGGAGTTACCTCAGTGCGTAAAGTACCTGCTGCTGAGTGTGAGGATCTGAGTTCAGAGCTCCAGAATCCACATAAGAAGCCATGACCCCAGGGACAGGGAGGACCCCTGGGGTGAGATCCAGGTTCAGTGAGAGGCCCAGTGAGTAAAATGGAGAGCGATTGAGAAAGACCCCCATCATCAACTTTGGGTCTTCACACACATGCAAACACACATTAGAACACACATATCAAAAAATAGAGTGCATGCAGTTGGCATTCAGCAGCTGTAGGCCTGGCTGGTCCAGTGCATGCCTGATGGCCGGCTGGGGCTGCCGCAGCTCTCATCTTCGGGTCTCAGCTGTTAGTCACACACACTGCCCACAGGGCTCAGCCTGATCTGCAGGGTCAGTCGGCAAAGGTGATGCAGATGCCCTCTGCCTGTCGCCATCTGCAGCTTTGTTCCAGCTCTCTGACCGGCACCGGCTCTCTGACCAATGCTGGCAGAATAGCATCAGTTAATTACAGTGACGGCGAACCCTCTGCTCCGGCAGCACAGCGCGAGCTTAGGGCCGGGAGCCAGGCGCCAGCCTCACTAATTGGCAGCGCCTTGTGAGGTATCGATCGCAAGGCTCTCGCTGGTGAGCACTGGCCTCCTGCCGCCGATGGGATTAGGCCACTAATTGTCCATGGCCAGCCTCATCCTCCCTCAGCCAGCTCAGATCCTGCCTTACACATGTCCCCCGGCTTGCCCACGCTGATGAGTGGGCTAGAGCGGGCCAAGCTGGGTGCCCTGGGGTACCTCCTCACCCGGGGCAGGCTCAGGAGGGCCACCAGTCGTCCCCTCCCCCCCAGGGAGGGTCAGCAGCCTTGAGATATGGGTGGGGTTGTGGTGACCACGCAGCAGGAGAGGCCAGGTCCAGGGTAGGCAGAGCTTCGGACACATGGCCAGTGGCTTCCGGGGGTGGAGCAGACACGGCGGAGGGTGTGTGTCATCTTTTGGAGGTTATAAAAATGTTCTCAAATTGATGGTGATGACAGCAAACCAGGTGTGCCGAGAGCCACCGGGAAGCACCGTCAGCCTGGCATGGTGGTTCTGCCTGTCATCCCTGGATTCAGAAGGCTGAGGCAGGAGGATTTTATCGGGAATTCCAGGACAGACAGGGAGCTAGTTCAGAAACCACATGAGAAAGCCAAGCATGGTGTCTCACATACCCAATCCCAGCACTAAAGAGGTGTGCAGATAGACTCCTAGGGCTTCCTGGCCAACGTGTCTAGCCTAACAACTCCTGGCCGGAAATGAAAGATGCTGTCTTACAATAAGGTAGGGCAGTGTGTGCTGTGCACTTTTAATCCCATCCCTGGTGGGGACCCAGGGGCAGAGGCAGGTTGATCTCCGAGTTTGAAGCCAGCCTGGTCTGTATAGTTACAGGTCATGCAGGGCTAGTGAGACCCCGTCTCAAAAAGCCTGGGTAGGGGTGGCAGGCAGGGCCAGAGGGATGGCCCGGCTGTTCGCAGCACTGACTGCTCTCCTAAGACCCGTTTGGGCCCCAACACCCAAATGTATGGCTCACAACTGTCTGTAACTCTGGCTCCGTGAGCTCCAGTGCCCTCTTCTGGCCACTAGCCACCCGCACGCATTTGTACACACACCTGCATGTAACTTGGAAATAAGGTAGACAGTGTTTGTTCCTGAGGAGCGGACCCAAGGTTGCTCTGCCTCTTCATACACATGCCACGCATACAAGTACATGCTAACAAAACACAACACTTAATATGTGTGTGTTGTACTGAGTGGGAATTGGCTCTAATTAAGGTATGACACCTGGAAGGGGCCATGGCAAAGCCAAGGAAATTCCAGTTTTGGGGGACCCCCCCAGTCCCTATTTAAAATTAGCCAGGTGTGGTGGCATACGCCTGTGATACAGCAGACAGGTGGAAGGACCTGATTCCAGGCTAGCCTGGGCTATAGTAAGACCCTGTCTCAGAACACACACAGTAACGGAATAAAATGGTAATTTCATTTTTTATTTTATGTATATGTATTGCCTGCATGTAGGTAAGTCCACCCGTGTCGTGCAATGCCCGCAGAGGTCAGAAGAAGCTGTCAGATCCCCTGGAACTGGAGTTACAGACAGTTGCGAGCTGCCATGTGGGTGCTGGGATTCGAACCCAGGTCTTCTGCAAGAACAGCCAGTGTCCTTAACTGCTGAGCCATCTCTCCAGCCCCTATTTTTTAATTTTTTGTCTTTGAGACAGGGTCTCCCTTGCAACCCCAACTGGCCTGAAATTCACTATGTAGATCAGGCTGGCCTAACTCACAGAGATCCACCTGCCTCCCAAGCACTAGGATTAAAGGAATGTGCCACCACACCCAGCTATAAAATGGTAATTTTAAAAAATCAAAGTATAGGGGGCAGGAGAGATGGCTTAGCAGTTAAGAACACTGTTCTTGCAGAAGACCCGGGTTCAAATCCCAGCACCCACATGGCAGCTAACAACTGTCCATAACTCCAGTTCCAGGAGATCCAACAGCCTCTTCTGACCTCTGTGGGCATTGCATGACACAGGTGCACTTTCCTACATGCAGGCAATACATGCGTACACATAAAAATAACAAAATTAAAAAAAAAAAATCAAAGTATAGATGTATATAGAGGACTGAGGCCTGCTGGTCAGAACCGGTCAAGGCCAGCCCCACAGAGCCCCTGCTGCTCTGCCCCCAGGAACAGTGCCATGCTTCACCCCTCTGAGGTGCTGTGTCTCTGAGCAAGAGGGTGATGTCCCACTGTGTGTGCTCAGTTTTGCTGTTTCTGCACTCGGTCCCTCTGTGTGACTGTTGAGGGACCTGAGGAGGGCGCTCTGCCCTAGAGCTGGCCAGGGTGGGACTTCGTGCCACCCATGGCTGCGGGCTGGTGTGGATTCACACAGGGCTGCGTTGGCTTTCTCATGTGGTTTGGTAGATGGGAGCCGTCACTTGTGTTCTTGGGTTGGCGTTGCCAGCCTGGGGCGTGGCTGTGTGATTCTTGGAGGGCTTTCATGGCTGCTCAGGCAGGTGCTCCCCTGGCTCCAGGGAGGTTCAGGATGCCAAGCCCTCCCCTGACTCAGGGCTGGTAGCCAGCCCGTGCCCGAGGTTCCAGGCCCAAGGCCCGATTGCATCCACCCTGTGGCCTGCCTGCTCTAGGTCCCCAAAGCTGGCTTCCCAAATCAGTGTGTCTGTAGGCTCTTCCTATGGCTGGTGCTGGGGTCTCACTAGGGCAGAGCTCACCCCACCCAAGTTCGGCTGGTTCTGCCTGCTTGGGGCTGCAGAGTTCTTAAGATGTGGGAAGTGGGTTTGTGCTCCATCTTGAGGGCTGTCCCAGCGAGTAGGAAATGTGAACGAGATGGATATCCAGCCTGGGACTGTCGGGCACTGGCCAGAGCGTGTTGCTGGACTGCTGTGGGCTTGTGCTCTCCAGTTTCTTGTTAGTTTTTGGTCTACAGTCTCCCTGTAACTCCAGCTGGCCCAGAACTCCCTGAGTAGACCAGGCTGGCCTTGAGCTCACAGTGATCTGCCTGCCTCTGCCTCCTGGGTGCTGGGATTAAAGGTGTGTGCGCCTGGCCTGTGCTGTTCAGTTGTCCAAGCTGCACAGAGCAAGACTCTGCCCCAATGTCATTGTGACACAGGCCACTCCAACTGTCCTGTCTTAGCGGAGCTGACACCCCAGCAGCTGAGTGCCCCTCCCTTGCTGCCTGGGTCTGAGGTTCTTGCAGGGGTGAAGGGACAGTTCAGGTGGAACAGCATCCATGCACGCTGCAGACACACTGGAACCTGCTGGCTTGGCTTCAAAATACTAAATTATATCTCAGAACGTTAAAATTAAAAATTGATACCCTCCTCAAGGCTTGAGGGGCAGGACAGGGAGTCCAGCAAAGCCCCCCAGTTTGTGAGCAGGCTGAGCTGTTGAGCAGATCTGGCCTCTGCCTCATACTGTCCGCTAGTATAGAGTTCTGTGGACTGGCCGGTGTGGGTCCTGTGGACGGGCTGCTTGGGCGGCAGTGGGGTGCCAGGTCGGTGGGCATGGCCCCTGTTCAGCCTCTCCTCTCATTCCACAGGCTCTTCACTGAGCAGCGAGTCGTCTCCCGTGTCTTCTCCCGCCACTAACCACAGCTCCCCAGCCAGCACGCCGAAGCGAGTGCCTATGGGCCCCATTATCGTCCCCCCTGGGGGACACAGTGTCCCCAGCACGCCCCCAGTGGTCACCATCGCCCCCACCAAGACGGTCAATGGAGTCTGGAGGAGCGAGAGCCGCCAGGTGAGTGGCCCAAGTCGCGGAGTAGGGCGCAGGTAGGGGGCACTGGAGGATGCCAGGTTAAGGAAACCATTGCATCAGATGCCTGGCGGCACCAGGGAATTTGTTGGTGTGAGAGACTAGAGACGGGATGGGGGTGGAGGTCTCCTATGGTGCTTTACTGGGTCGTCCTGTGACTGTCCCTCTGTGCATGCCTGTGTCCCAGTGGCCTTTAAGGACCCAGTCAGGGTACAGCAGAGTCATCTGGTGACTGTAATCACCTCTGCAGAGTCCCTGTCTACACACACAGACACCCAGAGGCACCAGGTTGGGACAGACATGGGGCACCCTAGCTTGGTCTTTGAGTCTATGGCCCTGGGTCTCCTTAGCTGTCACTGTTCTTAGTTAGGGGCAAGGGGTAGCGTAGGCAGTCTAGTGCTTTTGAGTTCCTGTCTGCTCTGGAGGCCCTGATCCCGACACGGAGGTGGCGGATGTGTTGCGGCCTCCGGTCAGCCACAATTCTAACCTGACTGGAAAGGAGGGGTCAGTGCTGAGCTGCCCCTTTACCCTGCCGGGCCTCCCACCCGCCTGGCGCCTAAAGGAAGGGGGCCTTGCTAATTAAGAACCGCTGTCAGCTGTCAGCTGTGGCTTTCCCTGGATTCTCCAGCCCGATTCCGATTCCCAGAGGAATGGCAGTGCTAGGAAGCACTAATTAAACCACAGAGAGGGAAGGGGGGGAGCAGGATGGGCTGGCTGTGACCCTCATCATGTGTCAGCACAGCCCACTGGGCGTCCTGATCCCCTGATGTAAGGACTGCCCCCCGGAAGCTCTCCAGGGATCCAGTGGGGACTCCGAAATAAAGCTAGGACCAGCTCTGGCGGGGGCCTGGGGTAGGGGGCTGGTCCCACCTTACCTCTGTGGCTGAGGTGGTGCTGACCAGAAGAAGCCTGTCTATCTGGGATTCAGTCTCCCAGCATCCTGAAATGGCCCTGTGCTGGTTTAAGGGAGGTCAAAGTATCTCTTGTCTAGACCCTTCTCGGGGGTCAGCCTGGGCCTTAGACTCCGCACTGCAGCGTTCCTTCTGTGGACAGCAGCCTGGCTGGCTCTTTGATTCCCTCCAGAGAGGCACTCTCAGGAGGTCACTTCCTGTCCCTGCCTTGGGCCAGAAGCCTCAGCTGACCAGAGCCTCTGGCCCTGGGCCAAGATACCTCGTGCGTGCGTGCATGTCCCTTGTCCCCAGGAGGCTCAAGTGCCTCTGCCTTGTGAGTCCTCCGCCTGGAGCCTGTCACCCTCCTCAGAGGGTCCTCACCACCTCAAAGACATTTAGTAACCCAGAGAAGAGCCCGTGATGGCTCCGCTCCAGCAGCTCACCACGCGGCAGTTAACAAGACCCGCTCGCCACCAGGGAGGGCGACAGGCTCGGCTGCTGAGCTGACGCGCTGGGCTCAGCAGAGAGTTTAATCCTTTCTGGGAGGGCGGGGGAGACATCCCCCCTGCAGTGTGGCCTGAGTCACTAGGGGCCTCCAGAGGCCACATCCACGGGTGGGAGCCGAGAGGGTGGTAGCTTTGAGGCCCTTCTCAGGGGGTGACCAGACGGTGAAACTGTGTGGAGATGAAATGAAAAACGGTCTATTTTGAAGCTAACGGGGCATGTCCCGCCTGCCTGTCTGTGGAGACCTTGCTCTAATCACCAGAGAATGACGGTTCCCTCCTCCCTCCCTCAGCCTCCATTCATTGCTGCAGCTGCATCAAGCCGCTCTGCAGATGTGCCTGTCTGCCATAGCAGCCGTGGCCGGTGCCTTGGGGCAGCTACTCAGCCTCCTGTCCCCTGCTTTGCTTGGGGTGCTGCCCCATCCTTTCTTCCCTTGTCCAGTGCAACACCCGATCCCCAGCTGACCTACTTCCCTGGTGCCTGGCACAGGCTCAGCCGGGCTCTGGTCAGAGGCCACAGGCCTTTGGGTCTGGTATGCTGGGCCTCCTGGCCATTCCCCTAGCCACCCTCCTCCTTGTCTGGCCCCTGCCAGGGCAGGAAGGTGCCATCTGTGCCTTCGAGCAGGGCTTTGTCTCCCACCGAGGGGAGGGGAGCTGCTAGTGGTGGTCTCCAGCCCAAGATCTGGGCCAGCCTGACCTGGAAACAGCCCGGAAGGCTCTTTATAGGTGGACAGATGAACAGAGGGGTGAGGCCAGCCTGGTGGCAGCTGCTACCCAAGCTTCCTATGACAACCCCCCACGCACAGTGGGTGCACATGCTCCCACTGGAACTGTCACTGCACTCAGCACTGTGGAAGATCAGAAACTGAGGTCCAGGGCAGCCATGGGACTTGGGTAGAGACATGCCCATCTCGACAGCTTAGAAGGAAGCCCACCTGCTGTCACAGGCAGGAAATCCGAGGCTGGGTGAGGGTGGGTGTGTGCACCCCACCTCCAAAGACTTGACAGTGCCCCCGAGGAGGGCAAGTCGGAGGGCATGGACCCATGAGAACCTCACCGTGAGCAGACGGCCTGCTGCTACAGGCAGGGAAGGGAACAGATGTTACTGCTCATTAAAAATTCAATCAGCGGCCTGTCTCCTTCAATTAATCGTGGCTTGCTGTCTGTGGGGAGCAGGAGAGCTTGTGAGAGGAGGCTCTGTGATGGACTCTTGTTATCCGTCCACCTTCCCTGCACTGTGAGGATGGAGGCAGGAAGGAGGAACTGCATTACGGCTCCTCATGGGAAGTTAGGTAATCTGGAGGTGCCAAGGTGATCTGTCCCCTAGCTGCCTGTGTTGGTGTTTACTGGCTTGGGGTGCAGAAGTAAGCAGCCCCTCATTGCTCACATTCCTCTGTAACCTGCCCCTGCACAGCCCACACGGGGTTAGGTTAGCTGACCTGGGGGTGCCAAGATAACCTACTTCTTGTCCCCATATGGTTAACTGACCTGTGGACACCACTGCCAGCTTGGACCCCAACAGGAGGGTGGTTGGTCATCCAGGAGGGGCTGCCAGCATCACTGCGCTAGGCCACCATTAGCCCAGCAAGTCACCCCACAGGTTCAGCAAGGATTGGTCAGAGGACCTTGGGCCCTTACCGCCCAGCATTTGGCCTTTTGTGACTCCCGTGGCAGAACTGACCTTGTGTCCCTTGTGGGCACCACTGGCTGCCTCTCTGACCTGGTTTGCTGACGTGGGGGTTCTGTCCTGCAGTGTGAGGGAAGGGCCTGGAGGTGGCACCAGGTCTCTGCCAGTCTCTGCTCCTGGCCCTCAGTTTCTCAGTTCAGGGCATCATTTCACCTTTTCCATGTTCATAGTGGTTCCATTCTGCCTTGCCGCGGAGCTTCCTCCCCAGTCACAGATGATGGGTGAGCAGGACTGTTCATGGTATACAAAATGTACCATGAGGCCAGGATTCTGCAGACCCTGGGGTTGCTGCCACTTCCCTCTATGCCTGGAGCGAGCATCTCTTGGGGTCCCTCACCCCAAATATGTGCAAGGGTGTCCCCACATAAGTTCAGCCGACTTCCTGCTCTGGCAGGGCCTCCCTAGGGGCTGTCTGGAACAGCACCAGCATCCCCAGCCACCAGGGGTCAGGACAGCTGCCGGGCACAGCTCACATGATGGTGGGGAGCTCCATTCCCAAGGCACAGATCACCAGCAGCCAGGTCCCCAGTGTGGCTGGGCCAGGTTTCTGTGTCGTATACAAGCCCCCATCTTGGGACCCAGTGGTCCTGAGTGAATTCACACTCCCCTGGTGGTGTTGAGTCCCTTTAGGGGTAGGGTTAGAGAGAGGCCCCTGGTGGACCTTGGCCCAGACCTGCAGTTGGGAGGCTGCACTGACTTTAACGTCTTCCTCCCTCAGTACCTGTGTTCTGTAGACAACCTGGGGGGATGGACATTTCTAGAGCATGAGTTTAGCATATGGGCCCTTTCTGTACAGGCGGCCATTGGAGCCAGATGCTACTGGCCGTCCAAGCTGCCAAACCTGGCCTGCTCCCCTAGCCCTAACCCTTGTGCCTTCCTCCCACAGGACTCCGGCTCGAGGGGCAGCAGCGGTGGTCGGGAACGCCTCCTGGTGGAGCCACCGCTAGCCCAGGAGAAGGCAGCAGGTCCAGCCATCCCTTCCCATCTGCTCAGCACCCCCTACCCCTTCGGCCTCTCCCCCAGCTCAGTGGTACAGGACTCCCGCTTTCCACCCCTCAAGTAAGTATCAGGCTGGGTCTGGGAGAGCACAGGGTGGGCCCCGGGCTGCCTCAGAGGCCTTGAGCGCGTATGAGCCTGTGGCCGCCACACTGGGACTTGTCACTCATTCCATTGATGCTCAAACCCGCCCTGGGGCCTGGGGATGGAGAGCCCCTCAGCAGCAAGTAGTAGCCACATCTGTTGGTGAGGACGTCAAGGGCTAGGTAGGCCCTAGGAGCAGGTAGCTGCCGGGGTTCGCCTCAGTAGGACGCGTGTCTGATGCGAGGTGGGGCAGCAGAAGCAGCCAAGAGTCATGCCAGCCTGGAGCAGGCCCTCTGCTTACCTGCCTCACTTTGTGCAGCCTCCAGCGGCCTGTGCACCATGTGGTGCCCCCCAGCACCGTGACTGAGGACTATCTGAGAAGCTTCCGGCCGTACCATACGGCCGAGGACCTGCGCATGTCCTCCCTGCCCCCTCTTGGCCTGGACCCGGCTACGGCTGCTGCCTACTATCACCCCAGCTACCTGGCCCCGCACCCCTTCCCTCATCCAGCTTTCAGGTGAGGCGTCACTCAGACTTTCTCTTCTCCGCAAGAAGGGGACCTCCCAGGCTGGGTGTTTCCCAGGACCTGGGGCCAGACACCCAAGGAGACTCAGCCCAGCTCCATCACCTTCCCCGGCTCCCGGCTGAGTTCAGCCTAGATGAACATGCTGGCCCTCAGCCCAGGCTTTCTGGTGGATGTGTCAGGTGCCACCTGCTGTTGCTCCCCACTTCCCACCTCAGCAGCACATGGTGTGTGTGTGCAGGAGGGACCCTGAAGTCAGGCCATCAGTCTGCTGGCTGCAGCAGCTCCTGGCCTGACAGGCCTCTTGTTGAGTGGACGGCCCTTCTGACCCAGCCGACTGATCACACCAAAGTCCTCTGCCTCCAGCAGTCCGCCCATCTAACCCAGGGGAGGGAAGGTCTTCGGTGCCCATCGTGGTCGGCACCTAAAGCCTCTGGCTGTGCATGTCCTTTGTTGAGAGCCTCTGCTATGCTCCTGCAGGCGGACTCACGTAGCCAGACATACCTGTCCCCCACTACGTGGGTCTCACCCTTTTGTCTTTGGTGCTGGGAATCGAACACAGGCCTCTGCATCTGCTAGGCCAGCTCACTGTCTGGGCCGTGGCCTTGGTGCACACCAGTCCCGTCTCCCTCTACAGGATGGACGACTCCTACTGCTTGTCAGCCTTGAGGTCCCCGTTCTACCCCATCCCCACCCCTGGCTCCCTGCCTCCACTGCACCCGTCGGCGATGCACCTCCACCTCTCCGGGGTCCGATACCCACCTGAGCTCCCCCACTCGTCCCTGGCAGCACTACACTCAGAGCGGATGTCCAGCCTCAGCGCCGAGAGGTGAGCTGCGTCCTGCCCAGGGAATGGAAACAAACGCTCCTGTCATTCCTGGTCCTGACAGCCAGACTCGGAGGTTTTGTGTCTGCTCTGTTTCCTTACTGCTAAATGGGACGGTGGCAGCGCACGCTTCAAGCTCACAGGGCCTGGCTCCACAGCTGCGGCAGACCGGCCGAGGAGCTTGGTGGCACCCGGGTTGCCGGTGCCCGAGCAAGCGGAGCCCACGGCTCCTGTGAACTGCTGGCTTCCGCTCTGAGGGTCTTGGCCTTGGCCCTCCCCACTCGGAGCATCCCTTTCAGCAGGATGCCCTCTTGTCCCCCAGGCTGCAAATGGACGAGGAGCTGCGGCGGGAGAGAGAGCGAGAACGAGAGCGGGAAGCTGACCGGGAACGGGAGAAGGAGCGAGAGCGGGAGCAAAGGGAGAAGGAGCGCGAGCTGGAGCGGGAGCGGGAGCGGGAGCTGGAGCGTCAGCGGGAGCAGCGAGCCCGAGAGAAGGAGCTGCTGGCCGCCAAGGCGCTGGAGCCGGCCTTCCTGCCCGTGGCCGAGCTGCACGGGCTCCGGGGCCACACCACCGAGGAGCGGACCAAATCCTCAGAGCAGCTGACCCCAACCCGACCAGGTACCCCAGCTGAGCCGGTGCGGGGGCCGACCCGGCCTGGGGGGCGAGGGGTGTTGGTGCCCAGCTCTGCAGGAGCCCTGGTGTTTTAGCGTCCGCTGTTGCTGTGCACGGCTGGGAGGAGGGCTCCATGGCACCCTGGGTCATGCAGGAGGCCGGGGTGGCCCTAAGCACATGAGGAGTCAGATGTGGCCAGAGCGTTAGGGACGGAGGTGATGTCACAGCTATTTGACCCGTGTTAGGCTTTTTTTTTGCCTTTTGTCCTGTTGGCGGTAGAACCCGGGGCCCTCGTGCCGGGCATGTCCTCCTGTCTTGGCCTCCCAGGTGTGGGAGGGCAGGTGTGAGCCACCCGACCCAGCACCCCAAACTGGTTTTGAGTGTCATTTACTTCCCCGGGCGTTTGTGCCCTGTGCTGCTCCGAACGGCTAGGTTCTAACAGCGGGCCCCTGTGAGTCCTGAGAGGGGAGCCCTGTCTCCTGTTGGACCAGACGCGCCTGAGAGCTGCGGGCCCCTCCATTCGTGGGCCTAGTGGATCCTGCAGTGACCGTGTTTCCTCCCCGCAGACAAGTTGAAGGATGCCGGCCCGCAGGCGCCCAAGCCCGTGCAGCAGCCCCTGCACCCCGTGCCCGCCCCACACCACACCGTGCCCAGCCTCATCTCCACCCACGGCATCTTCTCCCTGCCGGGCAGCAGCGCCGCCACCGCCCTGTTGATCCAGCGCACCAACGAAGAGGAGAAGTGGCTGGCGCGGCAGCGGCGGCTGCGGCAGGAGAAGGAGGACAGGCAGTCCCAGGTGTCCGAGTTCCGGCAGCAGGTGTTGGAGCAGCACCTGGACCTGGGCCGGGCCCCGGTGGTGCCCGCGGAGGCTGAGCACAGGCCCGACAGCGCCAGGTGAGTGAGGCGGTGCTCCGGGGTCGGAGGTCACAGCCCGGGTGTCTGCGTTGGAGCCTCATTTTCCCTACCGAGCCCCTCTCCAGCCCTAGCCGCCTGCCGCGTTGCCCCCTGGACACGCCTGGCTCTTCCTCTTTCCTCCATGTTGAGTAGGGTTGCAGTGAGAGTGTCAGAGGTGCCCGGTCTTGCACCGTCAGCCGCCTTGTACAGCTGGAGGGAGGCCACTCTGCCCCAGGGCATTGGGTTCACATCCAGTGTGGCCTGGTTAAGTTTTGAGGGCTCTGCTTCCTTAGCTTTTCGTTCTGGAGACTCCCGGACCATGGGGGTGTTGGCCCGGTCCCACTTAGAGCAGAGGGGCCGTGCCTGGCCGTACCTGTGGACCTCCCGGCCGGGGGGACTTGCTGTCCTGATGGGCCTTTGTCCTTGACTTTGGGATGTGAAGTATCTGACCTGGTGACTGTGTTATTTGCTGTCAAAACTCGTGACACAGCTGGACGCTGCGCTCTGCCGTTCAAGCCGGTGGTTGCAGTCTTGGTGGCTGTGTTAAACCTCGCCTCAGCCAGCCAGGGAGGTCCCTGATATCACAGGTCTAACCATCCCATGTTGCCCTCAAAGAAATGTTAAGTTTGGAAAAGCACCCAGAAGAGACCTTTATAAGTTGACTCTTGTGTAAGATGCATTGAGGAGCCTTGTTCATAGCCAGGAGGCAAAGCTTGTCTAAAGAAGGTTCCTGAACACCCCTGCAGGTGTGCTTGAGGGGCCTTTGCGAAGCTGCCGTTCTGGCAGGGACCACGGGGCAGCAGCAGCTTGAGCCATCCTGTGGGAGGTGGGGGGATGGGTGAGTGCTCCAACCCACCTCCCGCCCTTGGGACTAATGGCAGAGCCACCCTTCAGGAAGGAAGGACTATCCTGAGGATATTGAGGATGGAGGTCTCCCCTCGGAGGGGCTCACACTCACAGGCGGGAAGTCTGGCGTGGGCCTGGGCAGGCTGCCCTGTGCATGCTGTCGGGGGCTGGCAGGCAGGCCTCCCATAACCAATGTGCCACCGGCTCTCTCTAGGCCAGGACCAAACCGTCAGGAGCAGGGCAGCCGAGACCCCCCACAGCACTTTGGTGGGCCGCCACCCCTCATCTCACCCAAGCCCCAGCATCACACTGTGCCCACAGCCCTCTGGAACCCAGTGTCTCTGATGGACAATGCCCTGGAGACGCGGCGGGCCGAGGGCCATCCTCTGCACAGCCACCCAACTGCTTTTGAGCCCAGCCGTCAGGCCACAGTGCCGCTGGTGAAGGTGGAGCGTGTCTACTGCACCGAGAAGACCGAGCCCCGAAAACGTGAGGCCACGTCCCTGGACAAGTACCAGCCACCCAGGGAGACAGGGAGCCTGGAGCCCCAGGCCTTTCCCCTTGGACCTGGACCCTTCCTCACTGAACTTGAGAAGTCAACACAGGCCATCCTGGCCCCGCAGCGGACCTCCCTTTCCCAGGCAGCCCCCTTCGGGGAGCTCAGCGGGTCCCTGAAGCCAGGCTCACCCTACTGCCACCCCACACCACGGGGCCCTGACCCCACCTACATCTATGACGAGTTTCTGCAGCAACGCCGGAGGCTGGTCAGCAAGCTGGACCTGGAGGAACGCAGGCGGCGGGAGGCCCAGGAGAAAGGTCTGGCCCCCTGAGTGGGTCCCAACCTGCCTGGGCATGGGGGTTCATTCAGTGGGAGTGGAAACCCTAGAGCCACCTACTCACCCCTCCTCAGACTTCTGTGCATCTGACAGCTGTAGGGTGCTAGGCCCTGAGCCCCTTGATGTCCTGCCATGGTGCGCCCCAGCCCATCTGTGAAGGCTCTCCCGCAGATGTGGAGGACTGACAAGTGATGGGCCGAGGCTAAGTTGGTGTCTTTTAACCTTAATAGTGCAGCTAGGCTGAAGAGGAGCCGAGCCCAGCATGGCTCCACAGACAGGGCTGGTGGCCATTGCTGACAGGTGTGCCAGGGAGTGAGGGACGGTTCCCAGCACTGCCCCAGGCCGGGCCTAGAGCTGGGCATCTCCTTCCTGTTTGGCCCAGGAAGTTGAGTCCCCTGGAGCTCAGGGGAGTGCAGGCCGTGAGCACACATGTGGTGGTGATGATCAGGGGCACCAGTCATGGTGTTTGCCCTGGTAGACTGGTCCTGTCTGGTGTTGAGCCCTGCTCCTCCTAGCTGAAGGTGGGTGGTGTGGACCATCTTCCCGGGCTGCTCTGGGCTTTGGGCTCACTGGGGCTCTTGTCTTGTGAAGCAGTTGGGGCGCTGCTGTTTTTCTCTACCCTCCAAGGGAACATGTGGGCCACAGCAGGGGAATGTGCGCACAGAGCAGTGGACTCTAGGCCCTAGTTGAAAACGCTCCGCTGTTGGCCTAGGGAGCACCCTGCTCCGCTAGGCTCAGGGAAGCTAGACTTTTGCTGACCCTGGCCTGTTGCAGGTATCCTGCCAGATTGGAAGAAACCAGGCCCACTTACAAGGCGTTCACAGGGGTGGGCAGCAGGCCTAGCCCAGTGGTCTCGCCACATGCCCCAGGGTGCATGTGCTTTGGAGCATCCTGGACTCTGCACCTGGCTCACTGTGCCCATTTCTGCCTTCAGGGTACTACTATGACCTCGACGACTCTTACGACGAGAGCGATGAGGAGGAGGTCAGGGCCCACCTCCGCTGTGTGGCTGAGCAGCCGCCCCTCAAGCTGGACACGTCCTCCGAGGTACTGGGCCCTCCTTGCCCCTGGCATGTGCTGGACTGGCTGTGCCGTCAGGCCCCAGTTTGGGCCTGGCTCATGGCTCCCGAACCCCCCAGTCATTACTGGGGCTCCTCTTCAGCCTAGCTGTAAGTCAGCTTTGGAAGACCACTGCATGGGGACCCCTAGGACAGTGAAAGTGGCCACTGGCAGCTGTTTTCAATCTTGTTTTTCTTTCCCAATCTAGAAGCTAGAGTTTTTGCAACTTTTTGGCTTGACCACCCGACAGCAGAAGGAGGAGCTGGTGGCCCAGAAGCGGAGGAAGCGGAGGCGGATGCTGAGAGAGAGAAGCCCGTCACCCCCCGCCGTTCAGAGCAAGCGGCAGACACCTTCCCCCAGACTGGTCCTGTCCACCCGCTACAGCCCTGATGAGATGAACAACAGCCCCAACTTTGAGGAGAAGCGGAAGTTCCTGACCATCTTCAACCTGACCCACATCAGTGCGGAGCAGAGGAAAGGTACAGCGTTGCTCCGGCCTGCACGTGGGAAGGGGGTTCTGGGGGTGGTGTGGGCTATGGAAGGACACTTGCCCTGTGGTGCTCACCTGTCACACGGGGCTCTGGCGCACAGCTGGAGGCCATTTGTCCTCTTCTATACTGCTTGGATGAAAGGATAGGCATAGCCTGTGGGCGGCAGTGTCTGATCCCTGCACCCTGAGAAGGCATGTCTGGTCAGCGCACTTCTGGGACTCAGCGTGTCCTTGGGGCACCAACACCATCCACTGGGCACTGCTGATGATGGGAGGCTGGGGTGGGGGGGAGCGTGCACTGCTGATGATGGGAGGCTGGGGTGGGGGGGAGCGTAGGGATTGCCTACATGTAGGCACCAAGCCCAGCCATCCCACATTGAGCACACAACTTGCCCAGAAAGATGGTTCCAGATTGGCAGATTGGTCTGGTTACCAGGAAAACCTTTTGGACCCAAGTCCACAGCTCAGAAAAACAGCACGGCCACAGCACTGAGGTCTACTTCCCTGGGTCTGCCCGCCCCAGCGTGGGCTGCCATTCGATCGCCTTCAGGGCACCGGCCCCCTCTCCGGGAGAGTAACGAGATGCCTCTAGCTCCTTGTCGCTTTGACATGTTTCTTTACCGGAGGTGGCAGTTTCTCTTCCTGCTCGTAGCAAGCAAGGTGGAGGACTCATTTGGCCGTCAAGGGTTGGTGACTGCCAGCACAAGGCCCTGGACACGTTCCTAGCTGTTTGCAAGCCCGGCCTCTTGCCCGGCTGTGTTTGTGAGGGAAGCCTTCGGCACCGTGGCCTCGAGTTTCAGCGTTGGCAGGAAGCACTACAGACGTGGCAATCCTTGGCTGGAGCATGTGGGGGTCTGTGTCCTGCCCCCTCGGGAAGTGCCCGGGATCCCAGGCTTGCACCAGAGCCCCGGAGCGAGTAATGGAGGCAGGCGCTGCTCCTGCGTGGTCTCTGGGAGGGGCCGTGTTTGGCCACTCGCGGTCTCCAAATGAGAACTCGGAGGAGGAGGTGGTCACCGTGCCGACCGAGGGCCCAGCTGCTCACAGAGCCGTGAGCACGCGGACACAGCTGTCTGCAGAGCGGGGAGCAAACGTGCGGGGAAGTCGAGCAGAACCCGCTTCCACCTGCTGGTTCTTCCTGTCCGCACAGCCGGCCCATGGCGCCTGCTTTCCGCTCTTCTCGGGGTAAAGGGCTCGCACCTACCAGTCTTGGCGGGCCTGACTCCCGCCTCTCCTCCCCGCGGAAGACTGCCTCGTTAATCTCGGGCTGCTTTCCTCGCAGAGAAAGAGAGGCTTGTTGAAATGCTCCGTGCCGTGAAGCAGAGGGCACTGTCAGCAGCGGCAGACTCGGTGACAAACTCTCCGAGGGACAGTCCTGCCATCTCCCTGAGTGGTAAGGGAAGGCCGGCCCCAGCCTCAGCCTCCCAGTACCTGGTAGCTCGGGCAGCAGGGGCAGAGGTCTCACTCAAGGTCATCTCCGTGGTGAACCCGACCTGCTCGAGGCGGCGCCGCTCTGCAGCCTCATCTCCCTCTCGTGTGATTCACCATTGACATGGTCCTGCAAGACCTTAGGACACAGTGCGAGTTAGAAGGCGGGCGCGAAGCTCAGGGCAGGGTGCTGATGCCACAGAGCTGTATGGCAGTCAGTGTGGTTGTCGCCAATATCAACATCATCCCTCAGCGGAGGCTCAGCCAGAGACAGGATGGGGCCCAAGCCTCCGGAGTGCTGTCCGCAGAGGAGACTGCCTGCGAGCCGTGCCTGGCCTCCCCTCTCCAGACTGTCACCAGCACCTGCTGTCAGTTCATTTCTGCCTCTCTCCTGCTGAAGGAAGCTGACTTGGGGTCTAGCCCTCTTCCCAGCTCAGCTCTCCACCTGCGCTCGCTCTCTCTCTCTCTCTCGCTCTCCAAGTTGGATCAAGTAGCTGCTTTTCCGCTCTTGCTGCTCACCTATCTCTTTCCAGAGGTCCCCTGGGGACTGTCCACACACGGACTTGGTGCTGAACACGGTCCACAGACTTGAGCCGAGTGCACGACGGTTAATTCAAGGGCCCCCAGGTCTTGATTCTGTGCACTGGGTCTTTGTGAAATGTCAGCTCTAGAGACCAGGATCCCTGGGCCTGTTTGTCCATAGCTCCTAACGTTTCCCTCACTTTCTGTCTCTCAAAAGAACCAGCCACGCAGCCGCCTTCTCTGGAGACGGATAAGCCTGTTGGGGTCGCTGCCTCCTTGTCTGATGTCCCAAAGGCCGTGGACACAGGGAGACTAGAACAGCTCCGGCCTCAGGAACTCTTGAGAGTCCAGGAGTCAGCTCCTACCAGCGGTGAGAAGGCCAGGCTGAGCGAGGCCCCCGGAGGCAAGAAGAGCCTGAGCTTGCTGCGTTACATCCGGGGCGCTGCGCCCAAGGACATTCCTGTGCCGTTGTCCCACAGTATCAACGGGAAGAGCCAACCTTGGGAACCCTTCATGGCTGAAGAGTTTGCACACCAGTTCCACGAGTCAGTGCTGCAGTCCACACAGAAGGCCCTGCACCTGCAGAAGCACAAAGGTAAGCTGCCGCCGCCCCACTGCTCCTGAGTCACCTGCCAGCGCCCCTTGGGGGCACGGGCTGCATGCGTGGTGACGGTGACTTTCAGGCATCAGTGCCCGTGAGGCACCCGGCGGTCTGAGCAGACACAGGTCCAGGCCTGCAGGTGACCATACATGCAGGACAGAGTAGGGAGGTGCTGGTCGGAGTGCGTTCTGTGGAGGTGACTTCTCTGGTGTCCCTGTGGGACTCGCCTGGAGACCGCTCTGGTCTTTGACCGAGACACTCTTGTGCCTGTCCGTCCCAAGGGGCCCAGTGAGTGGTAGCTGTTCCCCTGGGCCTCCACTGGTGTCCAGTTCCACCCGTGGTGCTTTGTGGGGAGTTGGTAAAGGCCAGAGAATGACGGTGGCTGCATTTTATCCCCAATGAGTCAAAAGTAGAGCTCGGAGAAGAGCCCTCAGCCGTCTGGGTTGTAAACCCAGCAGCCAGTGGGAAGTGTTCATCCTCGTGTTCAGTCCTGTCGAAGGGCTTTTCACCAAGCCGTGAATGCTGAGCTGTGAACAGAGCTCATTGGCTGCGCTGGGCTCTGCAGTAGACTCCACCCTGGGGTAACAGAGATGGGAGTACTCCTGGAGCCCAGAGTCCACGAGCGCCAGGTCCAGTGAGACTATCTCACGTAACAGTGGGGAGAGCAGTTGAGGAAGACACCAGTGTTGATCTCTGGCCTCACAAGCATGTGCACACACATCAATGTGCAACCACAAAACAATCTAATGATTCCACAGGGCTGGGGTCGTGGAACAGCGTGTGCCCAGCATGCGTGAGGCCCCGAGTTGGATCCCCAGAGTGAAGAAGCAAACCACACAAATCAGGAGTATGCTAAGTAGGGATTTTTGGGTGGGTTTTTTTTTTTTTTGGTTTTTCTTTTGGTCTTTTTGAGACAGGGTCTCCCTGTAGCCTGAGCTATTTTGGAACTCACTATGTAGACCAGGCTGGCCTTGAACTCACAGAGATCTGCCTGCTTCTGCCTCCCAAGTGCTGGGAGTACAGGTGTGTGTCACCACACCCTGCCCCAAGTAGGTTTTTATCCTTCGTGTTTTTATGAGTTTGCCTGGGACTGCTCCTAGATCGTTAGGTCAAGGGTCTCCTCCATCATCACCTGGGGGGCATAACACACTATTTTTGAGGTGCGGCCCCAGCAGGGCTGGCCCACCATAGACCTGCAGACTGACACAGCTGAGTTGCCTCCTGCTGGAGTGCCGAGACCCTGTCTGTGTTCGGGGACAGATGCACTTCTGCCCGAAGGAGGACACTTACACACTGAGGGCTAGCTCCAGCTCCGCTCAGACCTAGAGAAATCCAAACACAGGTGACTTGGCCACAGTCATGGACGTGCCACATGGGACAGGAGCTCTGACACTGTCGGGGGTGGGGTTGCTTTTCACCGTCCCTCACGGTGACCCGAAGTTACACCGACTCCGTGCCACCTGAGCGTCTTGTCAAGCCGTCTGTCTTCTCCCCCAGGGAGCCCAGCCATGATGACAGCGGAGCAGACCCATAAGGTCGACACATCCGTCCACTACAACATTCCCGAGCTGCAGTCATCCAGTCGGGTCCCCCTGCCCCAGCATAACGGGCAGCAGGAGCCCGCAGTGGGGAGGAAGGGCCCCCCCGTGCAGGAGGTGGACCGGGCCTCTGAGGAGGAGGGCGAGGACGAGGACAGCGAAGAGGACGACGACGAAGCACCCAGGCGCACGTGGCAGGGGATCGAGGCGATCTTTGAAGCTTACCAGGAGCACGTGGAAGGTGGGTGCGGGGCGGGGGGTGGGCATCACCGGCAATTCTAACCCACAAGGGTGCTGCCGGCCTCGGGGCTGCAAGTCAACGTGCTGGGACTTCGATTTCCTGGCACAGCTGTGTGCTCTCGGGCTCCTGCAGACGGCACCTATGGTAACTCACACCCAGCCCCAGGCCCTACTTACTGGGGTGGGAGGCTATCGCCGAGTTATCTGATGGCCAGGCCTGTGACATTGCCATACATAGGCCTGTCTCCCATGGGGACATGGCAGGACACCACCCTAAGGGGCATGTACACTTTAAGACAGGTTTTCCCTGTAGCTTCAGCTAGCCTAGACTCACTCACCTTGTAGACCAGGGTGGCCTCAGTCTCACAGAGATCCGCCTGCCTCTGGGTTTAAAGGCTTTGCAGCACGACATCCTAAGTTTTAGGTGCTTTTCCTGAAACAAACCTGAGTCTAAGGCCAAACACAGCAGCACGGCCAGACCCCGAAGGGGACTAGTGGAGCACACGGGCTCAGCCCTCGGTGGGCGATGCTGTGGCCTCGAGGCGGCTGCTGCCTCCGCCAGCGTTGCACTTTCTACCACATGCCAGTTTTGACTGTTGGCATATCACATATGAAGTCCTGAAAAGGTAGTTTTATTATTTGGCCGGCCTGGAGCTCACTACCAGCCTGGATCCTCTTGCTTCAGCTGCCTGGTGCGCATTCGGGTGTCACGTGACACCCGGCTCGGAGGTGGCCTTTTGAAACAAATGCCGCCTAACCGATGTCCATAGCCACAGCAGAATACCTGTGCCTGTCTTTGGCTTCCTTCTGCCGGGGACTTTGGGATCAGAATACTAACACGCACACACGCACGCACATGCCTCACCTGCTTCTGTTTAAGTGTGTGCATTAGCATGCAGGAGCATACATGTCTCAAATGCTCTCAACTGCAGTGGAGCGACGGTAACCGGCCTGGTGTGGGCCCTGGGTGCCAGGCTTGCAGTCACGAAGCTGTCAGGACCTTTGGCTGTATCTCCTCGGTCTCAGTTCTGCTGTCCTCGTCACAATGAGGAGTCATCTTTGTTGAGTGCTCCTGCTCTGCCCCCTCCTAGAGAGATGGCTCAGTGGTTCAGAGCACTTACCTGCTCACCGCTTTTCCAGAGGACCCAAGCTCAGTTCATCTCCAGGGGTCCCAACACCTCCGGCTTCCACAGGCACCCACACTTGACATGCACAAACCTGTACACACACAAAAATAAAAACAAATCAGATTAAAAGAAATAGGCCCATTGTCTTGGTGAGGCAGAGGTTTGGCTAAAAGTTACCCTGGCCTTTTTCTGATGGCTTAAACCAAAAGCCCCTCCTCCCCGTTTTGGTTTGAAAACTATTTGAAGGCCGTTATTTTACCCAGTGCTTTCCTATTCTAACTTGCCTTTTGACTCAAGATCCTTTATCACTGCGTTGAGGTGGATTGAACTTAATTACCACGTTTCTTGGTACAGAGGGCTCAGGGAACATGACGGCCCACAGCTCCCCCTTCCGGTCCTCAGGCCCGGGCACTGCCGGTCCAAAAACACACCTCATGCAACTCTTGTCTTTCCAGAACAAAACGTGGAGCGGCAGGTGTTGCAGACACAGTGCCGCCGGCTGGAGGCACAGAACTACAGCCTGAGCCTGACCGCAGAACAGCTCTCGCACAGCATGGCGGTGAGTTGGGCCCGGGACTTCTGAGGTCCGAGTAGGCACATTTGAGAGGGGAAGTCTGAGTCTCAGAAATCAGAATTTGGAGTCTTACAGGGAAAACTCAGGTGTCAGTGAATTCGCCAGGGATCCTGAGAAGAAAGGCCTCTAACTGTAGCACTGGCCTGGAGTGGGGGTGAGGGTGGGACTCTGGCCCTGGACGGGAAGGGGCGCTTTGGGGGAATTTATTGCTGCCTGCATCAGGGTGTGTGTGTGTGTGTCTCCATTTGCTATGGAGAGCAAAAGAGGATTGGCTGGGTGGGCAAGAGGGTCGTCAGGTGAGGGCTGGTGTGGAAGCCTCCTAACCTGAGTTCCATCACTAGAACCATGTAAACATGGAAGGAAAGAACTGACTCCACAAAGTTGTCCTGACCGTCACATGCGTGCTGTGGCACACAACATGCCCATAGATACCATATGCATACGCTTACAGTTAAGAGCACTGGCTGCTCTTGCAGAGGCCCCGTGGCCAGCACCCACATGGCAGCTCACAACCATCCTTAACTCCAGTTCCATGGATCCAGCACCCTCTTCTGGTCTCCACAGGCACTGTATGCACAATGACTGCGAAACACTTGTGAGCTAAACAGTCGTTCACATAAAATCTTTAAAATTTTAAGCCATACTTTATGCATGGCAGTTTACATATTAAATAACACTGTAGTGGTGGGTTTGGTTTTTCTTGTTTTTGTCTTCTTGAGACAAGGTTACCTCTCTGGAGCCCCAGCTGACCTGGATCTCAGAGGTTGGCCTGCCTCTGCCTCCTGATCCTTTAATCTCAGCACTTGGGAGGCAGAGGCAGGCTGATCTCTGTGAGATCGAGGCCAGCCTGATCTACATAGCAAGTTCAGGCCAGCTGGGGCTACAGGGAGACCCTGTCTCAAAAAGACACCCCCCCCC